CTGCTGAAGCAGTCAGTGCAGCTGGCTCCTTGTGCTGTGAGACTGATTACATCACCTCTTCATTGGAAATGCTGCATCCCTCAGCAGAGGCAGATTTCCCACGTGATGGATGCCACTGTCTCCTCCTTTGTTTTAGTGCTTGCAGCCCATACTGTTGTTTGGTCATGAGCACGTTGTGACCTACTGTTCATGTAGGAGTGTCTTGCTTACGCGCGTTGTTTTAGGCCAGTCTGATTTTTCTTAACCCATCTGTTAGTTTTCATGAAGAAACAGCATTAGTTGTAGAGAAGGAGGAGGTCTCTGCAGTGTCGGTCACTGAGAAACAGGTAAAAAGCTGTCTCTGTAGTGTTGGAATTTACATCTGGTATCATTCCTGTTGTGCATGCGCACGTATCGTCTGAGTGTATTCTGCAAGCTTTCTGATATGGAAAGGAGAGTGTATTGAGTTTTGTAGTGGTGTGTTGATATGCATAAGCCATACAGAGAGCAGAGCTACGAGCTCAGAAGTAGGGTGGTCTCACAAATCTTAGCCCTGCCTCTGAGCAGCAACGTTCTTCCCTTCTGGTGTAGCAGAGGTTCTCTTGACCTTGCTTTTGGAGCTCTTTTGACTGAGTACAAAGTTAGCAGCCAGCACTTGCCAAGTTCCCCAACTCATTCTGAGCAAGCCAGTTAATCATCATGCCTCAGATTCTCCATTTGTAGAATGAGGGGTATTATGGATAACTTTTGTACTTTTAACAAAAATTGTGCAGTTGTTTGAAGATGACAGACCTAGAATCATTTAGGTTGGAAAAGACCTTTAAGATCACGTTTAAGTGCTAACTGCTACTAGAATTTATAGATAAAAACCTGAATATCCTAGTGTTTTGTGTCATGAATTAGAAAAGCAGCCCTGCAGTTACTGGGACTAATACATTATTGATAATGTCAATTATTATTGCATTGGCTTTATTTTTCACTTGGACTTGTGAAATACTTATAGAAGTAATGAGTGGAAAGGGTTTTTATATTGCAACATGGATTTCTCTTCATGGTAATAGTCTAATTTGGTTGTGGTGTCCTTCATTTTTCAGAAAAATAAGAATAAGAAAAAAGGCAAAGATGAAAAATGTGGCTCTGAAGTGACCACTCCAGAGAACAGCTCCTCTCCAGGGATGATGGACATGCATGGTGAGTGGGAGGTCAGCCCCAATCACCCTATTACACAGCTATAAGCCAACAGTGTCAGATTCTCCGTTGCTCAGATGTATGGATGGAATAGTTGAGTCAGTGAAAACAGCATCAGATACTCATTTGGTACCTTGGAGCTCTCTTCTGTGGATGTACTAACAGTTGTTTAAATGCCATTTTCATTTTGGCTGTGTGTGGGGAAAAATTATTAGTGGACCTAAAAATGGAGTATCTACCATTCAAAATACTACACGTGTGTGAAGTAGTAACTTTTGAGTTTGCTGCTTGAAGAACCAAAAGACCCTCAAAGCCTCAGTGGCACCTACTATCATTTGTGCAGGTTTTGTACTTTTTAACTCTATAGGTGATTCAGGTCAAAAGAATTCTGCAAGAGCCAAGAAAGCGAGGTCTGGTTCTGTGGTGTCTTCCTCCTGCTTCAGCTTGAGGAAATGAGTGGGTTAAGAAAACAGTGGCTTTTTGCTTGATAGTCTGGCACTATTAGGTCAGTTTTTTAAAGTGTGGACTGTTGAGTGTTAACCTGGTGTTTATGACAGTGGAGCTTGCACAGCTCAGCTCTGTTTCAGTTTTTACCTTCTAGGTGTTTGGATAACAATTCTGGCTGAGAATGCCATATTTGAGCTGATGAGAGGGGATCACTTTTTAGTGGGTTGTAAATTTTTCATTTCAGTTTTATTTGCATTTGTATTGCCCCCTGGTTGGTTTTTGCAGTGTTCACAGCAAGTGTGGCCTTGCAGCTAAAGGATTGAGCAGGATATTTGCAGATCTGGGTTAATTTTTCACCTGTTCCAAACTTTGTAGCTTTTGCATTGGTCAGATCATTTAATTTTGTGAAGTCTTGTTTTTTTACCTTCAGGGAACAATTCAAAAACAGCTCCTCTGACCGTTGTAGTGATGAGTGTTTGTGACCTGCAGCATGAACACTTCATTAGCCCCATGTTATACAGATCATTTAATTTTGTGAAGTCTTGTTTTTTTACCTTCAGGGAACAATTCAAAAACAGCTCCTCTGACTGTTGTAGTGATGAGTGTGACCTGCAGCATGAACACTTCACTAGCCTCATGTTATATGAGCTATAAAAATGAGGCTGTTGCTTCACTTGATCGTTTTACTCATATTACAAAGTTTTGTGTTCTTCTGGACAAGATCAGAGTAAACCACTCATTTTTAGTGTATAATATTAGTTGGAGCAGTTTGAAGTTCTCTGATTTTTAATAACTGATGGAAAACTTCTGTACTGCAGCATAAGCTGGAGGAGCAGATTGTGGTGGTGTGGAAAAAAGTTAGATGTAGTGTTAGTCTAAATGCTTGGACTGGCTCCCCAACAAGCTAAGACTGTGTTAGCAGGGGATAATAGAGGGAAATACAGGATAGCAGGGGATAATACAGGGAAAATATGTAAGAATTCAGGAGTGCTTTTTATCTTGTCACATTAGACTTTCTTGGTTTTAACTCTTTTGTTAACAGATGACAACAGCAACCAGAGTTCAATAGCTGATGCTTCTCCAATAAAACAAGAGAACAGTAGTAATTCAAGTCCAGCACCAGAACAGAACTTGGCAACACAAGCAGACGGCACTGAAGTCAAGTCTGACGAAACTCAGGCAGAAGCAAAAGAGCAGCCTGGTTCAGAAGGTAAGCTGAAAAGACCAGCTTCAACCAAACAACCACCATTATCCTTTAGTGTATCATTTATTTGCTTAATCCATTTTAAGAACGGAGTCATAACGATTTGAAAGATGGTTTCTGAATTCTCAATGATGTGAAAACTGGTTTTAATCTCTCTGGTTTACTGGTGATCCTTTCATACAACTGGAAGGGTCAGATTGACATCAGGGTCTTTTCAGAGATGAAACAAACAAAATATTTGGTTCATCGTTGTCATAGTCTCAGTCTTGAAAGAGGAAATAAAATAATCTTTGAAATGGCTGCTCCTGTAATCACACAGATCTGAGAAACTATTACTTTTGTAGATCTGGGAATGTTCATTATCTAGCGTGACAGTAAAATAGAGGTGAGATACTTTGAAATGACTCTTTTAATTGTGTAAACTCGAATGTAATTGCTTTTAACCCTGCTAATTATTTATTCAAAAGTTAGCTCTGAATCATGTCCTAATTTTCTAAAAGCATTACAAGATTGTTCTGCTGTTGTGCACAGATTAAAAATACATGTGGGTTAAGAGACTGTTCTGAACCTCATTCTTCAAATGGTTTTTTGGGTAATTGAAACATGCTCTTTATTTATATTCTTGGGAAAATAACTTTCTTCATCCTATTATAACAGATAAAAGATGTCCTTAACACCATTCTAATGATTTGGTTGCAGAATTCTTCCCGTAGCAAAGCAATTAAATTATGCCCTCCTGATTTAGTTCTTAGCTCAGTAGAGCCAGTAACCAATTTAAATTTAGGGCTTTTATCTTGGTGGTAGCAGGGGATGGGTTGTGTTCAGTGTTGTCATTGTTAATTGGGGTTAAAATTTGACAACTGGAATTGCAATAAATCAGAGCACCATATCCTGCAAATTAAAACTCACGGAGCAGATTTGGTCACGTAAACAGAAAGGATTTTCTCTTAGGTCTAATACTGTCTGAACGTGCCCGTGTGAAGTTGTTACATGGCACATGTGCTCCTCTGACTGAATTTAGGTTTGGGAAAATCATAGCAAGGTCTGGATTAGTTCCAGTGCCGGTTACTGTGGAATGAAAGGGAGAAGTAATGGAAGAAAATCCTTGTTACTGATGTGGGGTTTTTTTATTGGTCATATGCTGTGTTTAAAAAAACCCCCAAACCCTGAGTAATTACTTACCTACCAAAGTGTTATATCCATCAAAGCCCTGGGATTGTGACATCATTCAACTGAATAGGGCTTGTGATCTTGTACATCTGTCTCATGTTACTACACTGCAATCAGGGAGGTCCCTTAGAGCTAGGGGACAGTTTGAGTGCTCAGAAATGCCTATTGTGGGTTTCTTAAAGAAAACAAGTGCATTCAGAACATTTTACTGTGTAAACAAGTCATTGCAGGCATCAGAATCACTCAGGGCTTGGCAGTTTGAAGTCTGGATCCCCTTGCCCAAAGGTCAGCAGCAGCGAGTGGTAGCTGTCTGTAGCAACCAGAAGAGAACAGGGCTGCTCTGAGCTGCCCGTTGTGGAAGTTGCTTTAGGTCTGTTTTTGTCACAGGCAGACAGGCACATCACAGGGTGCTCCTTAGCCCAAGTTGCAGCGTATGCTGGGGTGTGCACAGCAGATACTGGAATTCCTTCTGACCCTCGGGACTTGTTTCTTCATCAGTATGAACAAGCTTTTCTGGTGAGACATGGAAAGGAAGATGATTCTCTCTGAGTTTGCTGAATGTGATCTTTGAGACTGTTCATCTCTCTATCTTGAATTCAGTCAGGGGAACTTTCAGAAATGCTTGTGATGCTTTTTATACAGTACACCACAAAAATACCCATTGGTTGCTGGTTAATGCATCTTCACTAACCAGTGTTGTCCAAATAAATTCAATCTTGCATTTCTTGTTTCTTGGGTTAGGGACTTTATGAAACTTGACTCCATGCCTGCTTCTGAGTATTCAAGTCAAAAAGGATTTTTAAATGAGGTGAAAGAAAGAATGGGTTCAGTCCTTACACTGTTCTTGCTGTGGGCACTGAAGGAAACACAACTGACCTTTTACAGTCAAAAGGGTTTGGTTTTCTGTGGTGTCTTTGTTTGTTTGTTTGGGGTTTTTTGTGGAGTCTCTGCTTCCGGACATACTGTGTCAACACTTCCAGGGATCTTGAAAATGTAAAGACATCTTAAGTGTCCCTGTGTCCTCTTCAAGTGAATGGGTGCTTTAACCCTGAGTACGCTTTAAGTCTTGCTTTAAGAGAGAGAGTTTCAAACAAACAAACCCCAAATAAGTAAAGAATAAATTAAAAACCCCAAGCAAACAACAAACAGGGAAATTGGAAGCAGGGAAGAGCTGCAACAAGCTGGAAGACTCCACGAGTATGCACCAGAATTAAAAACTCTACAACCTTAGTGGTTAAGCTAGTTACATTCCTAAATTTTATCTTAAAAGTAGTATCAAGAAGAAAGTGGATTGCAAATATATGTCTGAATTTCAGTTCGGGTAAGTATTCTCTCTCCTTAGCTATGCAGTTTTAGATCCGTTAGTTACCACCATCAACACCTTTTTGTAGCTGCTGGTTTGAAGCAAGTTTCCTTGTGGTCAGCCCCTTTGCAAAGTTGGTGTGGGAACTTGTTTGCTACTAGCAGTGACACGGGTCTATGTTAGTGGGTGTGCGGGAGCTTAGCTCCCTCTAGGGACTGCGTCCAGCAGTTGTGTGTTGCCAGCAGCAGGAAGGCAAAGGTCTTCTGGAGCTTGAGCTTCATTCATTATATTCATGAGCAGTTGTTGTGTATGTTATCGTTAATGGTTACACGTGGGTGAAATGTATGTGTTTGGGATGTTGCTATTGAGAAGCCATCCTAAAAGCTCCCACTTTAATTTATTTGTTTAAAATTATTTCTTGCCATTTCAGATACCTCTGATGAACAGAATTCACAGTCTTCAATGGAAAATTCCATGAATAGTTCAGAGAAAGCAGAAATCCAGTCCTCTGGAGAAAATGATATAATTACAGAGGCATCTAAAAACTCTCAGGTAACTTTATGCGCAAAAGCCCGATTACTGGGAATTTGGAAAAGAGTATTTTTACTAAAAAGCAAATGTAAGGAGGCCAGTTCTGTATTTAGACTCATTTCCAAAGGTGAGGGCTGTAAAGCAGCTGTGGAGTATGAAATGGGCAGGTATCTGCTTTTGTGGCTCATTGGATTAGCTTCTTGCATTTCACATGATTTGAACAGCAAGACTGGATTGGTCTGGTTTACTTTTCAGTTTCCTAAACCAGTCTGTGTTACTTTTGTAAGGGAATATTAAAAGTTAATGGTAATAAATGGCTTGGACCTAACCTACTGGACAGGCCCCTCTGAGGACCATTCAGAAGTAAAATACCTTCTATAAAGGTAAATGCATACAGCAGTGAGGGAAGTTAATTTTGGTGGGTGAGATGCTTGGATGTTCACTCACTGCTCTGCTGGAAAATTCTGGGTGGGTGGGAGGAAGGAATTATCCTTGAGTTGTCCTCCTCACCCTGAGACCCTCAGGCAGAGCACTGCTCGGTCCATTGGCTTCCCTTGGGGACGGGTGGTTTGTTTCAGTGCACACCTCACACCTTCCAAACCTTGCGTGTTCTGTCCTGTAAAGATTGTTTTGGCTACAGCAGGAGAAAATCCATGTGCGCTTGGTGCGGGTTGTGCTCGAGTGTGGAGCTGAGGGAAGGCTGGGTATAACCATGCATCAAGGCTCTTGCTTGGAATATTCACTGTGGTTTTTAGCCCGGAACTAGAATTTTGCCCTTTGTCTGTAGACGACAAGAAGTGTAAAGATGTTTGAGGTAAGATGTAAATAGAGGAGTGGCTTCAGGAAGCAAATGCACTTGGTCATGTCATTTCTTGCATCCCGGGATGCTTTGTGCTTTATAAATGCCACACCAGGGAATTTGTTCTTGCTTTTTGTTTGCTTTATGGTGCCTGAAATTCAGTGCAATGATAACATGGTTGTTTTTCTTTTCCCCCTCATTAAGGACTCTGAAGGAGTGCCACCTTCTAAAAAGATGAAAGTAGAGGCTTCCCAACAAAATGTTGAAGAGATTTAGACTATAGATTTTTCTGGTCAGTTCTTATGTAAGGTACATCAGTGGGCTTAATTATAGAACAACCTTACTTAAGCATCTTCTCTTGGATGAGGACAGAACTCCTAACTTTTCAAGTTACCAAGCAAAAATCCAAGAAAGCCTAACAAAGGTTTAACTTCTCAGACACTGAAAACTTTCTTCCTGTGAAACAAACATTGAGAACTTTTAAGTTACTGTCTCTGAAATGGTTGGAGTAAACAACTCAGGAGGGGTCTACGCACTGTTTCTAAAGTCAAAATTACAATTATGTTGCTGCTGTATTATTTTTTTTTTTGTTTTTCATTTCTCTATTTAACAATGTAAGATATTTAAGGATGGTACAGGTCAGGTATTAGCTTTCATGTGAAGTTCATTGTTCTGGCGTGACGTCTGCTTTTGTTTTGTGCCTTGTGTTCTGAAAACAGTGCTAACTTTTAAAGAAGTTGTTTTGCAACTGTCTCCTTTGCAAAGTGGCCTATGTTTGTATAATGCCATGGAGTAAGGCTTTTTCTCTTTTCTTTTCCTTTTCTGTTTGGGGTTTTTGTTTTGTTGTTAATTTTTAAATCCCTGGTGCTTCAATTTTTAATACAGGTCAGGAAGCCATTTTCACTCTTGGAGTCCAAGGAGAAAAAGGAGCTTGATATTTTATTTTAGCAGCTATAGTGGAGATCTTTTATGAATGCATGGCATTCGCAACTGTAAATTTGGTCTTCTAAGTACTTAACTTCATCAGAAGTTAACATGATCTGTTTACCATTTATAGTCCAGATCTGAATATATACTATAACACAGCAGTTAAAATACTTACGTATTAGGTCCAGATCTCTGTACTGGGTACAACTTGCTTTACACAAAAGTTCCACTATGTACATAAATAGGATCAAAGGGATTAATGCACAGTGAATTTATTTTCAATTGGTCTTTTTTGATATCATGTTTTCACTGAACTGGATGTCACTGTACTGTTTCTGTATAAGATGTTTACTTCTATGTTCCAGGTTAATACTGTATTCGGGGGTTCTTTTTCCTTTCAGCAAGTCTTGTAAATAAGCCTTGTTGTTTCCATAGTCCCTACATCACTGTTAGGTTCTTCCTAACATTGGAAAAGGTTCTTCCATTTCCGGTGATGCTGAAGCGTGCTAACATGAAACTTCACGGGCGGGCATGAAGTATGTGCAGCTCCCTTCAAATTGGTGGCATGCAGAGGTGCAAAACCATCTGCATCAGGTCACAAGGGCCTGATCTTACAGTGGGCTTTGTGCTTCCAGGCTGAGCTTCCAGTTAGAAATACCTGGTGTTGCTGGGAACCACTTATTTCTTCCTTCGGTGCACACACATGCACGTACACACAGAGGGATGTACACACGTGTCGCTGCATCAGGCCCCGAGTCTGTCTTCACTTTGTGTGGGAGATGGAACTTGTCATTTAAAATACGATCTCACAGCTATGAAAACGGTTTATAGTTTGTAAGCTAAGAACTGTAAATACTTTTTTAAATGGGGAGGGGGAAAAAAACATTGCTTCCAGTTGATACACTTTGAGAATTAGCTCTTCATTAAGCTTATTTAGTTCTGAGTTCTCCAATAGTGAAAATGGCTTGTACTTAGACTACTGTTGCGTTTGCAGTTACCACTTTATTATGAGAAACAATAAGGGAATGGGGGGAGGGAATAGAGGGAGGGTGGAGTGGGGAGCCAATACTGACCTTCCGTAAGATGTTTGTAGGATTGAACTCCAAATAACGTCTGACACTCAGTTCCAGAACTCTTCCTTTCTGTTGAAATAAAACCTTTTGAATTTTAACTGAATAAAAATTTGATTGCAAATCACTCATGAAAGCAGTGTGCTCCCTAATAAGTTTTTGGGATTTCTGGTCTGATCATGAAGTCCATTAACATTCTGACAATAAGGAAATGAGGAGCCAAAAAAAAACCCCCTATATTTGCACAATATATGCAATGAAACAGTAGAATTCTCTCTTGAATTGTGTGTATGCCTAAAATGTGGATAACTGGTCAGTGACGATTGATTTGTATGTATATTGCATTCAGATTTAAGTGATATTTTGTGAGAAGTTCTATTGATATATTAAATGGGCAAATCTAGAAAGATTCAAACTTAAAAATATTTTTGCTTTACTAACTTTCTGTTGTTTTTAATGCTAAAACAAGACGAGTCTGATGCCACCTCTGACACTAGTCATGTTAACTAACCCCGGTCTTCAGGTGCATCGCAGCAAGTTTTTAACTTTAATTTTGTAGACGTTTCCAAGGGAGTAAATAGACTTTTCATTTAGAAACTAATTCCTGTACTTTAGGAAGAAATAAAATATATAAATAGCACTAAAAATACCTCAAATTTTTCATTAGGTAGAAGCATTTATTGGCATTATTGACATCAACAGGTTTAATTATCAACTTCCTTTTCTCTCCTGTGGCTTCTGCTCAGAACTGTTTGTTGTTCTGTGGCTTACAAGACAAGGCATCATAACCATATTTATTCCTAGAGGCTTTATTTCTAAAATAGTAATGTTTTATTTACAGCTTATACAGAATACATTCAGAACTGTTCTTTTTTTTTTTAAACCAGAGATTCTAGTGACAACAGACAACTGAACAAGCAGATAGATTTGGGTTCCTTAGACCCGTTATTGTCAGTCTCTGAGGGAAGAGACTTTGACATTATCTGGTATGAAGAAATCCAAAATAGTGTATAAGACTGTTATTAGTCTTTTTTTGAAGTGCCTGATAACATTTATGGGCCAACGGATGTGATTAAACACATTTTAATGCCAGAAAGTACAGATGGGACCAAACCAGAACATCAAATCAACCTGAGATTTGAAACCAGATTTAAATCCAGCTTGTTTTGGTTTGGACCTATCTCTACCAGAAACTTGTTTTATGAACTCACTGTAAAAGGGTTTATTGAAAGCATTGAGACGTGGAGCAGAAGGAGAGATGTAATTTTCTTCACGATGACTGAAAGTTCTCATACAGCTAACGTTTTAGAAATAGTGCAAATATCAAGAAGTGCTTCCTTGCTACAATGCTGAATGTTGGAGCTTCAGTTACAAATAAATACAAAATAAATTAAAAAAAAAAAAGAAAAAAAAAAGGAAAGAAAAAATAAAAGACAAAAAAAGAAACTAGAAGCAAGCAAGTGAATTAGCTGAGTCTGTGGAACACGTGGGAAGGCCTTCCGAATAAGCGATTTACTCAGCCAAACATTTTATAGCAGAACTATTCCTTGGAATTTTTATGCTTGGGAAAGTAGTTGTTAAACATTCCAAAAAGTGCTGGCACTTAACAAAACAACAAAAAAAAATCAACAAGGCAGTCTAAAATACTGGTTTTGGGTGGCTCTCTTCATACATAAACATTGTCATGTTTTGGAATGTTCTTTCTATCTAAGGGCCTGTTAGAAGGTGTAAAGAATTTTGTTTTCTTCAATACCTAATCGTTTTCCATCTTATGATTTGTGTGTGTGTGTGTTGTACAGCAGTATAATTTTTCACTTATTTATTCCATCGGTAGTTATGGTTTGTACAATGTACAATGGTTTCATTTCTGAAATAAAATAAAAAATCACAACATGAACGCTGCGTGAATAATTTTTATCAAGAAACTGCACTTCAAGTTTTCTTTTCTCAATTCACAATAAATTTCTGGTTTTCTAAATTGTATTTTTAAATGTGCATTCTATGGCGGTGTCTCATTCGGTAACGTGTGAAATGATTCACCTTTGAGTAGACCAGAGATCTGAGAGGGGTGGGGACAGTTTGTTGTAACACATAAATATGGCCAATGTAATTACAGCAACCTGCAGGATAACTTGGTAATTTAAGGTGCTTGGTACTTGGCTAATGTGTTGTGGTAAGTTAAATTGGAGGGAGGAGAGCACGGTATGGAAACACGCTTCAGTTTGGAAACATGCCCAAAGCCTGATGCTGGCAAGGGTAGAACTCCTGAAGGGTTTTGGAAAGATTCTTTACGTTCAAGATGGATATAAATGTCCAGCTTATTTTTAGTGTTTGATGTGCTCTGTCCCAAAGTAGCCTGTGGTTTCACGGACAGCTGAACTGGTCTGCTGGCTCACCCCTACCACAAGGGCGAGCCGCAGCCAGCTTGCCAGCTCCCAGCTCGGTTTTGTTGCCTCCCTCGCGTTCACTGGGGTGCTCATTGCATCCTCTCATCAACCACTTAAATTCGTTAACCTGGGAAGAAAAGCGCTCATTTTAGGGGTTTTTCTTCTCTGGATCGGTATAGCAGGAATTGTGTATAGGGAGGAACTGGAGAGAGAGAGAAAAGAACAGGTAGAAACAAGGATGTAATTCAAGATGGGTCCCAGAAGTAAAGGCCTCTGAACAGGTAAGGTTTGTGCTGGTAAAGTGTGGAGGAGCGAGCAACAGCGTAGCCTCGGTGCAGGGCATGGCTCTGGAGGTTGGCCCTGTGGTTTGCCTGGGAGCAGGAAGGGCAGGGGAGCCAGCGGGATGGTGAGGGATGGCTGGACTCCAGCGCCTGCAATCAGCCCCACAGCCAGGCTGTGAGTAAGATCCCTTCAGCTCTTGTGCCTCATCAAAATGGGAATGCTTATCTTCCTGTCTGTAGATCTAGGAGGGTAATCTCTTACCGCTAAGTGTTGTGGAGTACACTGCGGGTATATTTTTAAACAGCTTGACTTGTCTGTTCAGTGTGTGTTACAGCTGAATTCTGAGCTGGTAAATAGCTGTCTCCTCCTGTGCTAAAAGCCTGTGCTGTTGAAGGAACATCATCAGAAGATGGTGGCCTATGTTTCACCTTGCACTGCAGATTGCTGAAAAGAAACAGTAAGGAAGAAAACATACTTAAAAGATGCCGCTGTGGCCCCTTAGTGTTTCCCTGTGCCTCTTGGAATTCCTTATTGTGGAGGAGGAGAGAATAGCTGGGAGCCTTGACCTGTTGCTGATTACCTAAATGCTGCTCTTAAAAAGGCAAGCCAAGACGTCTGTCTTGAAAATAACTGGATTTATTTTAAGGGATGCCTCTTCCCTTGCACCTGCAGTCTTTACACCAGGGAGGCTAGAGGAGAAAGCCCTGAACGGCATCAAATCTTACTGCTTAACACTGCTACCCCTGTTCTAAATGATGGTTTGGTGTACTGCTAACTGCTTAGAAAAATGCAGTGCTCCCTAGTGACTTTATTTTAACAAGTCACCCTCCTTTTCAGAGAGGAAGAAGCAAGTCTGG